TGCGTATCCGATCATATAGATCCGTTGTCACCCGCGTGATGTGGGCCAACTCATAGTCAGGACGCCGAGAGAGAGCGTCCGCAAGCACGTTGAGCTTGCCGGGCTTGTATTCGACGCGGAAGTTGTATTCCGCGAAGAAGGACAGCCACCTCGCCATCCTTTGGGAGTGGTGAGGCAAGTTAGTCGCCGTCCTCAAGGACGCGTGGTCTGTGTAGATCACAAAGGGCCTAGAGCCCAGAAGGTGAACACGGAACTTCACAAGGGCATATTTCATTGCCAGGAGCTCCTTGTCGTGGACAAGGTAGTTCCGCTCGGCGGCTTTGAGCTGCCTGGACTGGAACGAGATGACTCGTTCATGTCCAGCCGTGTCGGCCTACAGCAGTGCACAACCGATGGCATACTCGGAGGCATCGCAGACGACGCTAAACGGCTTCGTCTCGTCCAGCATGGCCATTACAGGGGCATATTGGAGACTGGCCTTGATGATGTCAAATGCATTCTTGTGCCCTTGCTCCCAGCGCCAGTCGGCGTCCTTCTGAAGGAGACCCGACAAGGGCTTAGTGAGGCCCGCGTATCCTGCGCTGTACTTGTGAAGGTAGTTGGCCAAGCCCAACCACTTTCGAAGATCCTTCTGGGATCGGGGCGTCGGCCATGCCGCTATGGCTTTGACCTTGTCTGGGTCAGCCCGAACGCCCACGGTGCTTACGAAGCAACCGAGAACTTTAATCTCTGGTGACGCGAAAACGCTCTTGTTGATGTTGGCGTAGAGCTTGTTCGCTCGCATTACGTCCAACACTCGACGGAGGTGTCCTAGATGCACCTCCATGGCCGTCTTGCTTCCCTCGGCACGGCTATGGACGAATATGTCGTCGAAGTACGTCTGTACGAAGGTACGCAAAGGGCGGAACAACTGCGTCACCAGGCGATTGAACGTCGCCGGGGCGTTAGACAAGCCCTGCGGCATGACGAGCCACTCCCAAAGCATGTCGCTTGGAGTGCTTACCGCGGTGAGCGGGATGTCGCTCTCTCGCATCAGGATTTGGTAGTATCCGTCTACCAAATCCAGCTCACTGTACAGTACGCTCCCGGCCATGTTGTTCAACAACACATCCTTTCGTGGGATTGGTGTTTGGGCCGGCACCGCTGCGTTGTTCAGCTTGTTATAAGCGTGAACCAGACGCCACTTTCCGTTCGGTTTACGAACGCAGAAAGTCGGCGTCGAGTGCGGGGATTTCGACTCCCGCACCATGCCTGCCTTCGCTTTCGCGGCGAAGAAGGCATCAATGACCTCGCACTGTTCGCGCGGGAGAGGCCATTGCCTCGTGACACAATACTTTGTGCCGTACGCCTCGATCCGGTGGGAGTTGGGTCGGTGGGTGTTTGTTCACCACGTCCGCGTACTCCTTCACCAAAGGATACACCGGATCCTTGGGGTTCTTGAGAATCTCAGAGCCCAAGCGCGCCTGACGCTGCTTGTTCATGTCTTCTAGGACGTTCTCGTCCAAGACAGAGGAGGAGTTCAGCTCCTCCTGAGTGGTCTCAGGTCTCATGAGTACCATCTCAGCAATCTCTCCAGCCTTGAGGCTGGTCAGGAAAGACTCAGCCGTCATTTCCTCGAGGTGCAGTATCTCTGCAACCTCTGGCAACGGTTCCAAGTGGACACCAGATGCCTTGACGGGTAAGCCGGTCTAGCCATCGAAGATGTGATAACACTCTTCCACCGGCCTTGTCGGAGGAGCCCGGGACCTGGACTCCGAGTCGCTTGAAGCGACGTCGTTGCCGACGGCGGCTGTGACGGGGAGCTTTGCTGCCCACGTCTAGGGATGTCGTCGCTACGACATCCGAGGCACTCGTGGCCTCGTGTAGTACTGTTGTACCCACACAGGAAGCGTGTTCAACGTCTTCCTCTTCAGTTAAGGTCTGGGCGACCGCGTGTGGCACTGTGTTACCCACATAGGCGTGTTCAACGCCTTCCTCTTCAGTTAAGGTCTGGGCGACCGCGTGCGGCACTGTGTTACCCACACAGGAAGCGTATCCGACGTCTTCCTCTTCTGTTAAGGTCTGGGCGACCGTGAGTGGAACTCTGCTACCCACTCTGAACACGCTGTTTTCAGTGTTCATGACAGCTGCAGCTGTCGGCGGAAATAAGTTACCCGCCTGTGGACCTAAGTTACCCACTTGGCCAGCGCCTCTTCTGGGCGCGGCCACCATCAAAACATCCTCGGAGTCGTCATGTACGTCGACGACTCCCAAGCATCTGCAGGATGCTTTGGTACCCTGACAGCCCTTGCGGGCGCCCCGGGTCCTGACAGAGGTGGTAACATGACTCACCAATGCTCTGTCGGACTGCGCAGGGCGGCTGGCACCGATTGCCTTTCCTCGCCAGTCGATCCAGGGCTCGTGCTTCTCAAGCCAGGGCATGCCCAGGATCATATCATATGAATCCATATCGAGAACAGTGAGCTGTTCGAGGCTTTCAAAGTCTTCAAACTTGACGGCCAGATCCACTTGGACGTTGGGGACAGTGACGACCTTCCCGTCGGCCAGTCGTACTGACACCGTCCCGTTGCCCTTGCTTTCTCTCAAAGCATCGGACAACTTGTTGCTGTTGCACGAGACCGTCTGGCGGCGTGCGAAATTCTTCGACGCCCCAGAATCGATCAAAATTCTAAAGGGACGATCGTATCCCCGTACACATCCGTGTACTACGAGCAACCCGCCGCTGCTCTTCGCCGATTCGAGAGTGCGAAGACTCTCAGGGGCTAAGTCCCCGTGGTACGCGCCACCCGCGCACCCATCACGAAGACTTAGTTCTTCCCCAGTAGGGCGCCCCGCCCCTACTGGTTCCCGGCGTTCCCCTGTCCCCTAGATCCTGGCTTCTGCCAGCAATCCTTGAGGACGGGCTTGGGGAAGGACCGTCTGCGGAGTCTTTCCGCGGGACAGTCGCGCTTGAAGTGGCCCATCTTCCCGCAGCCGAAGCAGCGGATGTCACGCTGTTCGGCGGACCCGAGCTCCATAAGAACTGGTCCGTTGGGACTTGTTCGACCGGGAGCCGACAAGGAGCTCCCAGGCCACGCTGAGGCCGGCGTACGCGCCTGGCGATAGCTGTACTCTTCTTGAAGAGCCACTTAAATCGCCTCTTCAAGGGTGCTTGACTGCACCCGGAACAGCTGAGTGCGTGCGGGGCCCACTCGAAGGCCGTCCATGAACACAGTCATCTTGATGTGTTCGCTGAGTGGGTTTCCCACTAGGGACGCCGTGAGCTCCCGTATCTCTTGCACATACTCGTGCAGTTTGCGCCTTCCTTGTTTACACGCGAGGAAGCGCGAACGCTGGTGGTACTCGTAGTTCGCCGGGAGAAATGCGGCTCGGAGCTGTTCGCACAGCTGAGCCCAGGATGTGAAACATCCAGGGGATGTTGCTTCCCGTGTGTACACCCAACTCTTAGCACGGCCGCTAAGGTTGGAGAGTGCAAAAGCAACACACAGTTGCTCGGTCGAGATCTCCATCGCGAGCTCTACTTCTCGGACCCAGAAGTGAAGGTTCTCGCCTTCCTTCCCTTCATACGGCTTAGCCTTCAGCCGTATTGGCTTCGGGTGAGGCGGATTTGCTTCCGCCGCCGGAGCCTGCAGGTTCTCCCGCACATGCGCGATGAGGCCCTGCTCGTACGCGTCGAATGCATTGACGCGCTCGAGCTGCTCAGCGGGTGTTGACACCACCAGGCTCTGCAGGGCCTCCATCCCGAAGATGCCTGCCATCTTCCGAACCGACTCGAACTGAGAGTCGTTCATATGGGAGAAGTCGCTCCTATCCATGGCAACGAACTTCGGAGAGGTTCAGGTAGTCTACCCGCGGTGGCGTGGATTGACTACAAGTGCTACCAGGTGTGACGGGGTCACACAGCACCTTGCGCTAGAGGAAGTTATCTTCCGAGAGTATACAAACTCTCAGTGAACGGCAGTTCACAGGTCCCCTCTTTAATTAAAGAGAGCGAAGTGACCTAAATAAGGTAGAGTGTAAACTGAGTATATTTATAGGTAGGTTAAGTTTGGTTTTAATACAAACTATTAGTTACCTATAGAAATGCAATGTCATTTAGCCAATGGTTGGCTTTGAACGACCTTGGTACCTTGTACCAAATATCCCGGAGTATGACGTGTCATACTCCTGAAGTGTGAAGTGTCATACTCCTGAAGTGTGAAGTGTCACACTTCATGTAACCAGGGTACACTTAAGGCTACGTACCCTGTTACAGTCCTTAACCCATTCGAACCCACTCTTGAGGCACACCGCCATTTCTCACACGAGATATATTCACTTCATTCAGCTTTTCGATAGCAGTGACACATCGACCAACGTGTCCACCTGTTGGTAGGGCAAAAAATCATATACCCGCGTCGCAGAATCTTAAAGACTCTCGTTGCCAGCAAACCTTTTCATGCCTAACACGAATTCAGGAGGCCCACCGAATATGGCGCAGAATACTCTCTTCACATTCTCTCTCTGCAAAAGACTAGAGTGGAACCGCAAAAAGTAAGGATTTTTCGCAATAATCCTTTCTCCAATTTCTTCTGAAATTTCCGATTAGTCATATTTTAAGAGCTTATTTTCGAGCAGAGGAAGTACCAGATTAGTGGTACCTTGTGTCCTTCGTACCGTCCATCAGTTGCATCACGGCGTTGGCCATGCAGAGACTCTCGCGCGGGCTGTACGCGGCGACAAGGCATCGAGCGTCTTCCTCTGTCTCTGCTCGTCTTATTGCAGCATCAACTGGCCCAAATTCACCGGTATGGTACTCAAATCGTAGGTTATTAAGCGTTGCATCCGCCGTTCAAGAGCCACCAAAACTCGGACGTTTTGCACGCCGTCGAGCCAAGAAACAGCGTGTCTCCACCACACTGGAGCCTCCCCAAGAGCTCTCAAACGATGAACCTTCCGATAAGCAGCAAATGAATAAGGATTTCAAACTCAATGTGCACCGATGCGTCGTCCAGGAGCAGATGCCGCTCGAGGACGTGTTGCCATTGGTACAGAACGAGGTGCGCGCCAAAACGCTTCAGGCGGCAATGGCGCGTCAGTCGGTGGACTCGTTCTACTTCCATTGTGCGCAACAGGCGGAGAAAAAGGGGCTTACGGAGGAGCTACGACGACAAGTGCTGCAATACTTCGACCAGGAGCTCTTTGTCTACGATCAAGAGCTAGAGTCCAAGCCTTTTGTGCTCGGCAAGTCGCTTAATGAAGCTGTGTTTGGCTCAGTGATCAAGTTGCATCTGGCTGGAGGAGACACAGAGGCCGCGTGGATGGCAATTAACAAGTTACGACGAGCTGTGAGAGGACAACAAGAAGTAGGTGAGACGCCCAAGCTCCACTTTCGAACCGTGAGTCCGTTACTTGAGCACGAATGTGAACATGGCCAATTCTTGAGTGCGTACTCGAGATGGCAGCAATTGAAGCAGCACGACGTCGAGTGGACTAGTGCCATGGAGGACGTACTCGCTCAAATGGTTGCTGCATGTGTGAAGAACAATGAGCAGCAGCTGGACGAGTACACTGACAGCGATGCCACTGAGACGCGCTTCCACGCTCAGATGGCATCGCTGCTGCATGATCTGCAGCTTACATGTCGCGAGATATCTCCGTCTAACGCTCAGCGACTCCTTCATGGCTTCCGTGATGCAGGGTACAGAGTGGAGTCCGTACCGAGCGATGCTCGGATGAAACCCAAGTGTCCATGCTGTGGACACGCTCTGAACAAACAAGGCATGTCGGAACAAGAACGTGAGCACATGCTGACTGCACTCGAGTCCCGTCGTAGCAAAATGGCGCCTGGCAAGCTGGTCAAAGAGTTCCTGGACCCTTTCCGAGTCTGGTTGATGCTCCGTCACGAGACATTCCAGCTGCAAACATTGGCTGAAAATCCGAGAAGTAGCAAGCCTCTGCACTATGTGCTGGATGGACCCAACATTGCGTACATTAACCAAAACTTTGAGGCCGGTACCTACCGTTTGGATCACGTCGACTACGTCGCGAGGGAGCTACAAGCTCAGGGACATCTGGTTAGTATTACGATGCCCACGAATTACCTTGCGGACAAGTTCTTGGTGCGTATCCGCAACAAACACTTCCGGGATATGCGTCGTCAAGGCAAATATGCCACACGAGAACGTACGCCTGAGGAGAAGGCCATTGTGGCGCGCTGGAAAGAGGAGGATATGATCTTTAGCTGCCGCACCGACTTCTTATCGGACGACCTGTTTTGGCTCTACGCGAGCGTGTTATTGGGTCGTGAAGGCCGCGTAGTTACGAATGATCAAGGTCGCGATCATGTGATCGCTCTCCTGAATGGCTACAACAGTACCAGTGCTCAAACTCGACCTCAAAAGAACGGCAAGAAGAGCGCTGCTGCCGCCCAAGCAGAATTTGAACAGACAGGTGCCCCCTCTATCTCAATGGACCTCATCGCGCGGTGGAAAGACATGACGACGGTGAATATCGAGATCAAACACGAAGAAGCCGCGACCAACGCTGCCGTGGCTGGAGACTGGACCAAGCTGATTCCGATCGAGTACATCAAATTGCGCCACCCGCAGCCGTTCTCGCGCGTACCGCAGGTGACAGCACCGCAGCATTTCCACTTTCCACTTGCAGAACTAGCAAATAAAAACGAACATCCGAATCAAGTGCAGAGCCAACGCAAACGTACGCGATGGCTCTGTGTGCATCGAAATGACAGCACCTAGAAATCATAGACCCACAACCATAACAATGACATTGCATTTCAATGGATGGGACGATAGATTGTCGGCTAAAGAAAATATTGCTTGCTACTCGGGGCTTGGCTTGATAGTTTTTTTTAAGCGTAGACGCACTTGCCGTTGTCGCACTTGAAGCCAGGGTCGCAGGCGTCGATAAAGAGGCTGGTGGCAGGGTTGAAGCACTGGCCGCCAGTCGGGACACGGCAGGCGTACTCGCCACGAGGGCAGTACTGGCCTGAGGGACAGGCCTGGTAGCAAACACCACCATCGGGGCTCTGTTCGACGGTGTGCACACGAAGGTGGACGGTGGCCTGGTCCTCGGCGGTCGTCGACTAGAACAGGCACGCAGTGGCGGCAAGGACGGTAGTAAACACGGTTGAGAACTTCATGATGTTGAGCTGAGGAGAGGAAGGAGGCTTCGGGGTTGGGAGGTGAATCTGGAAATGAGAGTCCTGGTCTTTCATCGACATAAGATAAATCAGGGACTGCAAGGCGTCAAAATCTCATTGAAACTTGGTGTGCAAATCTTTCCAAGTTGGAATCCAACAAGACTTCCCTTGTGCACTATTTGCTGTCTCCTGAGTTCAAACACTACGGGATAGCTAAGCCTGTAGCTTTCAGAGGGCTTGCGAGTTCTCTGCTCTTCGACGTGGTTGAAAATTGAGATACGGTAAAGCTCATAGGACCCGTTCCAGCTTAGTTCCAACATTTAGAGAGGAAAAAGGAGACCGACAGGGTTGAATGAGCAGGTGTACCCTCTCAGGCCATTACGCCGTGATTCAGCTAGTTTAAAGTGCATGACACTACCAGGCGAGGATGACACATTGTATCATAGTCAGAGTGCGACACTTCACAGCGCTTTTGAAACACCGGAAAGTGTCGACAATTGGAAATTCAGGGAATAAACTTTGTTTTATTTGGATACGGGGCGGGGGTTGTCAACAAATTGACAAAGTGATACTGTTTTGCCAGACTGCTCACCGCGAGCTTAAATGGACAGAGGAAGGAGGAAAGAGGCTACAGCACAGTCGTGCGATGTCTGACATCTCGTCTTACTGGCTTGGTTGCACGTTGACTTACTTGTACACGCACTTGCCGTTGTCGCACTTGAAACCAGGGTCGCAGCCCTCGCGGAAGAGGCTCGTGGCCGGGTTGAAGCACTGGTTGCCTGAAGGCTTGCGGCAAGCGTTCTCGCCACGCGGACAGTACTGGCCCGAGGGACACGCCTTGTAGCAGATAGCGCCGTTGGGGCTCTGCTCGACGGTGTGGACACGGAGGTGCACCGAGGCCCGACAGAGGGCTGCAGAAGGCACACGACGGCAACAGCAGCGGCGGTGAAGACGGTAGAGAACTTCATACTATTGCTTTGAAGAGAGGAGGACTTGGGAGAGCTGCTGGTCGAGAGGCGAATCCGGAAGTGAGCAAAGAAATCAAGATTTCAAATCAATGGCACCAATACTCAAGCCAAGACCGGGGAGGTATACCCAAACCAAGTCATTTAGGTGCAACGAGAATGTCATGGATTCGAGTATGCCGCATTATAAACTCCTCGAGGGGATGGCATTTCATCTCCAAGTTTTTGTCGATTATTTTCGGGTCGTAGACGCGCTGGTGCTCGGATGTCATTTCCTCGTATCCTTAACTTCATCGCATCACCAGTATTATTATATTTTCGGGTACGCCACACCCAGCAGTGCACTGCCATGTAGCACAGACGATCCTCTCTGTATTGATATCCCCAAAAGTAATTCCCTCCACATAAAGTGGTTGAGGAACTCTTCCCACTAATTTTGTGAAAAGTAAAACCTAAATGACAGATAATCTATTTAGAGGTACTTATCTATTGACTTGGTCCGTTCTGAAAAGGTGGATTAGCAGTGACACATGGTTTCGAGTAGGTGTTCCTGCTTCAGGATGTTCCTATAAGTAATCGTTGCATGTGATAAAGCGCGCTGTAGCTGAAACACGTTTTGAGCCCACAATGCAAGCCCAATGATGGATTTTCGGCTTTGTGGCGGCAGATCTGTCGTCGATATCCATTCTTTAGCCTGTTTCGCGACGTGGGTGATGCCTTAGTGGGCGAAGGTGCGCGCGGTACATGCATTGCAGTGTTTGGCGGGGAATTGATAAATGTCATCATAAACCGGCATAAATGGAGCCACTTTGCGGTGTTTAACAGAGCACCCGTCATCTGATGTATAGGTTCTAATAGTGATTCCTGTATATAATAATAAAAAGCGGCTTTCCGACGCTATCAATACATAGAGGATCGTCTGTACCGTCGTTATGGCACACTTATGCCAAGTACACGAATTGTGGGTTCATTTTGGCATCAGAAAAAAAAGGCGGCTGTTGGAGGCCAGGATTATATATTTGGAAACAGACATGATCGCGGACAGAATTAATCCTGCATGTGAAAACCCATCTTAAATGAGTAGCCATATGGGTAATTTAAGAGAAGATTCGTCGAGGACGCGTAAGATTCGAAACGTGTGGCTATCCGCTTTGGAGAAAAATCCTGTCTCGACCATTATTTAATGATGGATCGAAGCTTTGTACTTCAATAATTTCCTCATTGTACAGGATTAGTCTTGTTTTATCCCATGAAAAAAATCTCGGATCAAAGACTTGATCTGTGTCTGCACGAATCTTAATGCAGAATTACATGTATTCGACGTTAAGATGCAAGCTACCTCCGAGCACTTACTTGTCTGCAACTTGGGTTGGAGGCACCTCGTCGTCGTCCAAATTTGTGTCATCTGTCTGCGGTGTAGGAGCGTTTTCCTCCGTCAAAGTACTCGGTGTAGTCTCCGCTGGAAGTAGTCGACCAGTAAGCAGGTAGCAAAACAATTCCAAACGACGCCTTGGAAGCGAAGCGTCACTCATATCTTGAGGAGGTAAGGCGGCAATGTGCCGGATAAACATCCAACACACGAAGACGCCGCAGCTGAAGCCGTCAAATTGGATCGGGTTGCTCTGTGGAATTACACCAAAGTCATTCAGGCCTGCGATCTTCAGTCCAACGGCAACATCCCTTGTCGCGTTCATACACGCCGCTTGGTTCATCGGGTCGTAGTAGAAGATACCCTTCGCGCTCACTTTGACTACCACACAGCACCAATGCAAGTTACCACAGTTCACGGGAACAAATACCGACTCCACGCCTTCTTCCTTGACTTGATTCAGCACGCACTTGCGGACTGCGTCGCTCAAAACAGTCTTCTCTGTAGTTCTCGTACGTTTCGTTCTGACTGCTGCGTCTTGAAAGCCGGCGAAGCGACACTCTCGGTAATCTTGGCATAGACGCAGACACAGCGCACGTATGGAGGCATCTGAAAGCCATGCTGGTGGTGTAGCACGATAGAGCATTGCGTACTGGAAATCAGCGACAGCCGGAAGGCCCTGGATTTGCTTGTAGGGGTAAGTAGCCTTAACCTCTGCGGCTATCTCCTTTGGCGAAGGGCATGATTTTCTGCTGTAACGCTGGGATGCCGATTTCCGTCATCCACCTGTACGTGTCCAGACCCATTTCTACGATGTCCTTGAGATTCCTGACTCGCTTGAATATCTCTATTTGCATTCTGGAGAACTGGCCGACGTCTTTAATGAACACTGTTTTGTATGTCTGTGGAGCCAAGTCATCTTCTGCGTCCTGAGACTGACTTGGTTGCGATATATCGACAGATACAGCTGTCGTATTCGTGTCGGATACCGGCAAAACCTTCATGCACGCGTCTGGAAGCTTGGATGGGAGAATATAGAAGAGATCCTGTACCAGTACAGGATTCTTCGACATCTTCAGCTTGGGCTTCTTGTTGGCCGAGTCCGTGTGCTGGACAATTATTCCTGAGAGGCGTTTTTCTGTCTCCGCTAAGCCTGGCATGTCCCGATCCAAATCGTTCAACAGTTCCTTCAGAGTTTTCGCGCCTGCCAATTTACGTCCAGATTCTGCAGCTTCAAACCATTGACGACCTTCTTTCTCGCCGGCGACCGTGTTCTTCTTAGGTTTTTTTGCAGCTCCAACTTTCTTTGCCTTGGGGTTCAAGCGGATCGCAACCGGCGCAGCACCTTCCGCCGGGGATACATGCCGACCTTCGCTGCTCGACTCCTGGGACTCTTCTTCGAGGTCACTAGAGCTGATGTCGAATTCGCGTCTAGTTGCCTTTGCCCTCAGGTTGCTAATACTCTCCTTTGCTGAAATTTCACTTGAATCCATGTCTTCACTATCGCCCATCTTACGCTGACGAACGTTTCTCCACTGAGTCAACACAAACTTCAACATGTCATCGAATTCGTCTTCATCATGAATATCACTTGCTATAAGATGCGTAGCTCGGACAGCTTCACGGTACCGCTCAGACTGAGTACGCATCTTCTTTCGGACAGATCCTGAACCAGTGATGGTGAATTTCTCATACGCAAACTGCTTCACTTGCTTAAGTGGTCTATTCGGCGTTGTCCATCTGACCAATCATGGAAAAACACAGGATCATAATAATGGATTAGACATGATTAGAACTGGGTCGTTTACATGATTATAATACTGGAAAGGACTGTGCATTTACCTTTCATCAATGCATTACCATGGAATGAACGGCCCAGACACACCAACGTGTTTACGATAAGCTATTGCATGACGACAGGGTAAACACATCGAAATGGAAAACTCACAGTCGCATTTCCAATCGGATGTCCTCAAGCGATGCTCCAAAAACTTTCCAGATACCAAAACATCTCCATCAACGTCCGGATCCTCACTGAATTTGTACGACGCACATTTAGCCAGAGCTGCAGCATACTGTCCTTCAATCTGTCGCGCTACGTAGTGTGTAGTGAAGCGGAGAACGTTGGTCATCTCCTCGTCGTAATTGCTGTTCACAAATCGTCCGATCCGAGACAAGCGGTACTCGTACTCGTTCTGCACCCGCCGATCGTAAGCAACAATGGCCTTCACACACAAGGCCATATTCATAGAGCCATCCACC